GGGCTGATGGGGAGCTGCGGTTCCGTAGCGCAAGGGGTTGTGCGGCGTTCCCCGTTTCAAAATCCGTCTTTGCGGTGAGCTGAGGTCTTCGGTGAAATGAAAAAAGACGTGTTTTTATAAATGAATGTACTATGTATGTGTTAGACGACATATTCTCCATTCACACAACCAGTATATTGAGTAAAGGAGGTTTTTAGGCTTCATGTGATGCTGTTCTTTCCAATACTGAATAAATATTTCCATTTCTGCTCAGGCCTCTGAGCGGAGCCTTGTCTGTGAAAGGAGACAGCAGACTTAATAGAGCCTGGAAATAATTCAAATTACTGATTTTACTGATTAAATCAGAAAGCAAGAAACCTTTGTTTAAAGCATGATCTTTTCTTTGCTAAGTATATTATTCAGATATTTCCTTCAGCTATAACTGATTCTCATTACAAGGTGCTGATATTACCAAATACAGCTTTTAGACTAAATCTAAGGTGCTGATATTACCAAATACAGCTTTTAGACTAAATCTAAGGTGCTGATATTACCAAATACAGCTTTTAGACTAAATCTGAAGCATGCTTTTTTCACACCTCAAGTAGCTGATATCTGTTTAAACGCTTGCATAGCTTAATGCACGTAATTCAGAACGTTACTGTTTAATTTTTAAAGCTGATGCCTAGTGCAGCTCTCTACCAGTTTGTTGTGTTGGGTTTTTTTCCCTTCAGTGGCAACAGTGTCAACCTGTGTCAGAGTGAGAACTGGAAACCAACTAAAGTGCTTTCTGATGCTTAAAATACTTAAAGTATCAGAGAGCTGGGAAAAGAAAACGTTCATCAAAATATTTTGCATTTAAAAATCAGCTGCCTTTTACTAACCAGGGAAGTTTTGGCAGTTTGTATTGATGAGCCACCGTGCTCTGTGCTACATTTTAAGGTTTTAAAAAATTCTCGCATGTTTTTTGTGTGAAGGATCTGAATTTTTGGACCGATGAGCTGGCCATGCTGCCTGGGCTGGGACAGCCGCACCCGGAGCTTCTGCTCTGGCCCGCGGTCGCCAGCCTGGGTGTCTGCTTTTTCTTCTTTTTTTGGTAGGAGCCTTTCCTGCTTTTTGCTCTCTTCATTCAGTAGGCATTATCTGCGGACATACGCATGATGAATCCCATTTGTTTCTGCGGGTGAAAGGCACAGCTCACGTGCACACTCTTGCTTTTCATTGTCTAAGTGATAGAGAAGAAAAACCTTTATTTTCTGGCAATTCTCTCCTGACATACTGTCAGTGGTTTGTGTAGCTTTATTGTCAAGAGCCAAATTTACGCGGGTAATTCCGCTGTTTGTACAGAAAAGGGTTGTGCATTCATTTCACACTCATGGATGTTTCTTTATTTTCCTTTTTCCTGCAGTTCTCTACATCCAATGATTTTCTTCATTCTCCAAAGTTATGGCCCTCTCAAGGAGTACCAGTCAGTGATGAGTTACTTTTTAGTAGAAAAAGACCTTCAAGGAGTTTATTTCAGAATAGTATAGATTTTAACTCTGAGCATTCTTCTGTTTGTGCTGGTAAGTATTAACACAGAAAAGTGTTTGATCTGCCGTTTACAAAATAGATTTAGAAGAACCTGAGTGTAAATTTGTAGCTGCATGGGTATGGTTTATCGTTTGTTGATCATGTGTTTTGTACTTATTTTCATTTACGACAAGGAGCTGAGTGCTAGGCACAGGGCTCTGCCTCCAGCTGAAGCAAGCGGCAGCAGTCCCGTCCGTGCTCCTGGAGAAGCGTGCGCCATCTCAAAACTTAACCTGCTGTTTTCCAGCCCTGCCGCACACACACACAGATTTTCAGTACTTTAGATAGACCCAACGGAGTTTGTAATCAGCTTTTTTTGCAGACAGCGAGACCAAAAAGAAATAGCGTGGTTGTGCGAACAGATGTGTTGAACAAAAGGACGCGGGATATCCCTGAAATACAGAGCTGTCTGCTGCTTTTGTGGAATTAAGAAAGAGAAGTACCACGTCGATCAGCAACAGAGTAATTCAGCCAACATTCTTTCATGCTGTAAAATGCAATATGAATTGCAGATAAAGCAGTAAATTAAAAGGAGACACAGAATTTTACTGACTTTTGAGCAGGAGTACGTTGCTGGCCAGAATAGCAGCTGTTACCGTGAAAGGTATGCTGCCAAGAGTTAGCTGATAGCGGCGGCAGGGTCTGAAATACTGTGAACTGGACAACACGTTGGGAAGGTCGTATTTGTGTTTTATTATTACTTACTTATTATTTTGGCTGTTCAGGAGAGCAGAGCAGTGCGTATCTGTTCTAGATGTGCATATTTTCTCTTTTTTGCTTTTTTTTTTTTTGTAGAAAGCTGTCGGAAGAGTGAGCTTTAAAGATTGTTTTAAAAACTGAGAAATGTTTTTGAAAACCAGGTCTGTAGAAGATTGGAGGTATAGCGCTCCACTTAATTTATGCAAGCAATGTAGACTCAGTGATTCGTATCTTAATAGCTAAGAGGCATGTGAAAAGACTGGGCAAGACCAGGCCTGATTTATTCTCTTCACTTGGCAGTAGGTTACGTTCTCGGCTTTGTCTGGGGAGCCCTGACATGCGTGGCATGCCAGGTTTCCTCACTGCTGTGCTGGGAGTGACATCACTAAAGAAACTCACTGCATTTTGGGGTGTTGAGGTGTTGTCTTCCTTTTATTGTCATGTATTCGAAGAGGTCGTTGGTTTGGGTTTTCCTTTTGACCCCCCATGCCGTTCTCAGAGTTGGAAAAGTGCCCTGGAAGAACGGCCAGCCATTTTCCCAGTTTGTGCCTGTGAACGGTACTGTGAGGTTGCTTAGAAACTCTTGGATTAAATACTTTCAAAGGAGTTGTATTTTACACTGGAAGTTAGACGGCATCTTAATTCACTGTTACAGATTGTTGTATATTTTTCATTGAATGCCGTATGTTAAGTATTTATCTAGTTATTTGTGTTTTTCTTTTGAAAGGTGCTATGGGCTCTCATCAGCCGCAAATTTCAGGGAAATGTGGAACGCTCGGATACACACAGACACGTGGGAAGAGTGGTAGCGTGGACTCTGATTTACAATTTTTAGGGTTAAATAACTGTCAGCAAGACAAAGGTACATGGATTCTAACTGTATCGTAAGTCAGTGCATGTTACTTTGGAGATGTCTTTTTATTTCTGTGCTGCCTTAAGAAACAAAAACTATCACTAAAACGTTAAGTCCCTCATCAGACGTATTTGCGCCTCGCTCCTGTGTAATGCTTTTCATTTGCAGCCCACGCCTTTGGTGTCTGACTATCGGTGTGCTCTCTAAAAAGCGGTGCTGTTAGAGAATCTGAACTTTTTTTGAAAAATTGATTTTTCGATTCTGTTAGTGCTATAGATCAGATCGGTCCAGCCTGCACAACAGCCAGGGCCGGGTCGGAGCCTTGCCCCCCTGGGGCTGGTTAAGGCACCTCGCTTGGTCCCCTCGAAGGTGTGGAGGGCAGCCGAGGCGTCTCAGCGGGGGCCCGTGCGGGAGGAGGCAGAGGCTGCTCCTTTCGGGGTGCAAGCGACCTCGGTGCGCTGCACAGATGCCGTGCTGGCGCATGGCAAGCTTTTAATTCTGCTATCGTTGCTTTAGTCTGTGGTGGTCTCTGGACAGCTTTTACTAGACGGGTGTCCGGGGCGCTGCTGTGTCCGGCGGCGTTTGCTGCTAGTTTCAAAAGTGAGGCTAGTCTGGTCTACCCTTGATTGGTTTAGAGTGGGCTTGGTAGTGTAGGTTAATGGTTGGACTGGATGATCTTAAAGGGCTTTTCCAACCTAAACGATTCCGTGATTCTATGATGTGATTGAGTGCACCTTAACCCTAGGGGTGCAGGCTGAGATAAATCCGGACCTGTAACACGTAGAAACTTGTCTGTTCGTCAGTCGTAATAATAATAAAAATGCCAGATGTACGCCTAGTGAAGGAATCAACTCGCTGTCCGGAGGAACAGATGGTGATGATACCAGATCCGTGGACAGAGCCGCTTTGAGTGGTCCAGATGTGTTGGGCAAGGGATAGAGCTGACAGCCGCCTTGGAAGATATACAGGAACTTCATTTACTCAGTGTACTTCTAGTCACTTACGGGCTCTAGATACTGGGTTTTTCTCATACCTGTGGAAAGAAAGGAGAAATTTCCTCTTTGTTTTTTGCCTAACTACACAGTCAATGTTCCCTTCTCTTGGCCTTGGTCTTCAGAAGGCTGCCAGGTACTTTGCCCACACTTGCTGATTTATTTCTCTGCAAACAGTTTTTGTGCCAGATATTATTGTTACTTGAGCCTTTCTCTGGTAGTACAACCCACACCTGACTGGGTTGTCTCAGTTTTGCTGCCCCGGGACACCCAGGGAGTGCCCGGATGGTGCAGCCTTGGAAAGCAGCAGGAGCAGAAGACAGAGGCCTTGGAGTGATCTGATTTGTAAAGGGACTTTTTATGCTCTAACTAAAGGCATAATTGACTGGTTTTCTGTGGAGTGACACAGACAATTGATAGGTTTCCCCAAGCCCGACTCACTTTGTCACTTGTTCTCCCTCCCGCACTGTGCTTTCCCATTCTCCCAGCTGTGCCAGTGGAACTGGTCGTGGGGCTGTGCTCTCAGTGAGGTTGCTGAGGTAGCTCACTTTGCAAGGATCCGTCCAGGGTTAAAACTTGTCCTCTTTTTCACTTGCATGGTTAAAAGCTTGAGTGCATGCGGGGAACATGCATCTGCTTTTCATGGGAAAAAATTAAAACAGTCTAGTTCCAAACCTAGACTTGTCTTTCCATTTTTGACCTACTGGTTTCTGGGAAAAAAAAAAAATTGGAATTTGTGTTTTGTTTTTTTTTTTTTTTAAAGGAAGTAGAATTTGTAACATTTGTGCTTTATTTGTACTTTTGTATCACCGAGTTTTGAGAGTGGTGTTTGCAAATTTTATGCTATGCAGGCTTGGAATACGGAGCAGCAAGCAACAGAACCACGTTCAATCTACTCGCATCCTTCATTTTTTGAATCTCATTCTTCAAAATGACTGCAAAATAGCTTAGGCTCAAACTCATTTGATCAAATGCAGAAAAAGGAAATTGATATTTTGAGGGACAATGCAGTTTGCAAAATGAAGTTACCCGATTTGCCTGTTTGCTTCGGTAAAATGCTGACCTTCAGTTTTGACTCTCTAGAGGCTGTATTATTTCACTGTAAATTGTTATTATAAGAGCTGCCAAAGAGGCTAATTACCACAAATACCATTCTCTCTTCCTTTGCTCAGTTTGTGCCAGCCTAAGTTTTTCCAGCAAGACCCAGAGAAGCTTTTGCAATCAAGCAGAGCATACGGTGTCCTTCCAGGGTCCTAATGCGAGCCATGGGGCCTTCATTCTGCCGTCTTACCCGCTGTCGTCACCCCGGAACAGCCCAAAGCACGTCTCCTCTGCAGCTGACTCTCCGAAGAAGTCACAAGATAGTACCATGAACTTCTCAAACTCCTGGCCTCTTAAAAGCTTTGAAGGACTGCCTAAGCCTAGTTCACAGAAGCAGCTTCTCGGTCAAAAGTCAGGAGACAATACAGGTAGGAATGTGGTCGGTATAATGAAAACGGATTTCAGGTTTGCATTTTGAGTGACTTCAAGCAGTGGTCAGAAAACCTACACTGGCGGGTAAACAGGGAGGTATGCAGTGCCCCAAGTGCAGTTTGAAACGTGAGGGTTTTATAGCTGTGCTAGTCTAGTTGCATCACTGGAGGCTTCTTTTAAAAAGTGAAGTCTTTGTATTTTGGTAGTTTTAAGTACTGGCACATTTTGTTCCTTTTGTCTTTTAAATATGTAAGATAAAGCACCAGCTCTGCTTTTCTTATCAGTAACGTTTCAGTGAAAAGTTTGCCTTCAAACTAAAACCAAACCAAACCCCAAAATCTAGCACTTTTAAAGAAAGCCAATACAGAAATAACTGTTACCTTTAATACTCTAATTAATAGAATCATAGAATTGTTTTGGTTGGAAAAGCCCTTTAAGATCATCCAGTCCAACCGGTAACCTCACACTACCAAGTCCACCACTAAACCAATTAAGGGGAGAGTAATAATTAATTTCATGTTTCCTGGCTTGGTGGCTGGATTATTTTTTAATGAAAGTAAAAGCTAGAAAAGAATCGCTAAGGTTGGAAAGGATCTCTAAGACCATCAGCCCAACCATCACCCCAACACCCCCATGCCCACTAAACCATGTCCCCAAGTGCCACCTCTGCCCGTTTTTTGAACACTTCCAGGGCTGGGGACTCCCCCACCTCTCTGGGCAGCCTGTTCCAATGCTTGACCACTCTTTCAGTAAGGAAGTTTCTCCTAATATCCAATCTAAACCTCCGCTGATGCTGCTTGAGCCCATTTCTTCTCATCCTACTGCTTGTTATTTGGGAGAAGAGACCAACACTAATACACGTGCAAGAAAATATTACTCATTGCATTTTGGCTTTTTGCCTCTCTGCTTGCCTTTGGAAACTTATGCATTGAATTTCCCCCACTCAGAGTAGCTCTTTAAAGCCTGGTTACAAACAGCTACATCCCTAATGAGTGGAATCGGTGCTGATTTCATCCCATACTGCACTGACAGCTCATGGCAGAGGCTGCTATTTATCGTCTCACTTTCTCTGTCTTTGAAGTCCTCACGGACACATTGGTTAACCTGGAATAGTTTTAAGTTTATTTAATTACAATTGCTTAAACATTTAGCTGATTTCTTTCAAATACTTACTAAAGGCAATCTTATTTTAGGTTAAAAATAGCTTTAGTATCTGTTTAGCTTAAACTGATTCCTAGTCAGTCATGAGGCATACCTTCTGTAAGCAAAGTGACGGTTTCCACATACAATTTTGCACAGATTTAAAGAAATCTGTTTTAAAATTCTTCTTCATTGAGACATATATTTTTGCACATATGTAGAAGATTTCTAAATTAATTCTTTGGAAGTCACTTGTCCCTGGAATGCATGTAATTTTATCTTGCAGATGGGTGTTCATCGCTTGCTGATTTTCTTTGTATTATCCATATGCACTTCAGTTTTTTTCTGTTTCTTTAGAATAACTTCATTGTTGTCACAGCAGCTTACAGGAGAGCTTGTTAGGGCACCAGTCGTCTTTTTTCCTTAATTAAGAAAGTTAAGTACTTTTTAAAGGTACTGAGAATACATTGGCATGCATATGCATGAAACGCTAATTTATATTTTTTAAAAGAAGGAGACAGAGTAGAAGAGCTTGGTAACTGAGCTTGAAATGCAGGGAGATGGAAAGGGTAGAGTCAGGAGGTAACAGAAAATACCACGCGAGGAGGCGAGTCTGGTATTTATAATAGTAAATAAAATTGCGTGCATAAGTGTGGTTTTTAACACTCGCCTCGTTACAAAAGGAGGTTTCCGGTGTGACGCAGAAATGAGGCATGAAGTTTGTTGTGGTGAGTGCTGTGTTCCTGCCACCCCTCCGAAGGACTGACACCCGCTTCTTGTCTTCTGCAGGGGCCAACTTGCAGGAGAAACCCTCCCCTCTGCAGCTGAAGCCCACCCTGGTGAGAGGTTCCCGCAGGGGCCTGAACGGGGCCAGACCCGTGCCCCCCATACCCCGCCTCGCCAGCCCGCTGCCCGCTAAGGCCGAATTAAATCTGGCAAAGTGGAGAAACGAAGAGTGTGAGGACGCGCGGCTGAACGAAGTGGATAGGAAGCTTGCAGCTGATCTTTCAGAGCTACATGTTGATGGCGAGGAGGTGGACCAAGAAGAGGTTGGTCTAAATATGACATAACGCACTTTTGATAGTTGGTATACTATAAGCTTTTTTTTTTTTTTAAAACAAGAGCCAGAAAATAATAAATGTTTCTGACTTAAAGTTTGTGACACTGTCATGAGTACAGGAGGTACAGTGAGGTAGCGTTGGGTGTCTGACAGAAGCTAGGTAGAGCGATAGACACTGATGTTGAAGCACGCTTCCCGTTTGTTCCAGTGTCGGGGCTCAGCCCCAGGAGCAGCTCAGCACCACGCAGCCATCGCTCACTGCCCCTGCCCCGAGGGGGTGGGGAGAGAATCGGAGGAGTGAGAGTGAGAAACACTCCTGGGCTGAGATAAGAACAGGTTAAGAATTGAAATCAAGTAAAATGGTAATGATAATAGTAACAATAAAATAATAATAATAATAATAATAACAGTATCCAAAGCAAGTGCTGCCCAATGCAATTGCTCCCCACCCGCCGACCGATGCCCAGCCAGTTCCCAGCAGCGATCGCTGCTCCCCGGCCAACCCCCCCAGTTTCCATACTGCCCATGACGCCGTATGGTATGGAATGGCCCTTGGGGCAGTTGGGATCAACTGTTCTGGCTGTGCCCCCTCCCAGCTCCTTGTGCCCCTGGCAGAGCAGGGGAAGCTGAAAAGCCCTTGCCTGGTGTCAGCACTGCTCAGCACCAACTAAACCATCAGCGTGTGATCAGCATTGTTCCCATCCTAAATCCAAAGCACAGCGCTGTGCCTGCTACTGGGAAGAAAATTAACTCTATCCCAGCTGAAACCAGGACATCCAGACATCCTGATATCCCTTGGTTTTTTGTTATCACGGTACCAAGGCAGAACTGCAGGCCTTTATACAGCTTCTGTTCTCATTATCTTGGCTTAATTTTAAATTTCACATCGGATTTACATAATAATCCTTTCTTCAGTTATAACAAAGGGCCTGAAATAACAAATAACTTTCTTGATGAAGTTTGAGTCAGCCTGGGAGTTTCCTCAGCCCCCCAGCTTTGCTGAAGCGGGCTGTCCCCAATACCCGCGCAGCGTGTCCCAGCTCTCTCGGAAGTCAGTCGTTTTTTCACGGAGTAAAACGCGAAGAACTGCTGTGAAGCTGGGTGAGCGTGGTGTCGCCTGCAGCTGTTTGATACGACACAGACGCTCTGGGTGTTAGGCCTGGCGCGTCAGCATCCCTCTTGTAAGTGGAAATCCACTGGGAATGATTTGGGTCCATTATGTGTGTTCAGCGGCCAGTGTTTTGAGTGTGCCACTCAACCTGTGACTTAGAAAATATTTGAAATAATAAATACCTTTCAAAATCTATCCCTTCTGTGACCCACGAGACTTGTCAAACAGACTTACTCTAGCATTTCCCTTCACTGGCCCATGAAATACTTCGCGGCCATCGTGGCTGTAGGTCCCGCGTGGCTGTTCCTCAGTCGCACGGGTTCTCCGGTGAGATCCCCCTGGGTGTATGCCGGCCCCGCCACTGTGCCCAGCGCCCGCCGAAGGATCCTGTCCCTCACTCTGCTGCTCCAGTCTGAGGTTGGAGGAGTACCGAATAGCTGCACCAGTGTGGGACATAGAAAAATGCTGCAGAGGCACGCCGGATTGTTTGGGGAGGTGGTGGGGAGGTGGGACTGTACCTGCACTGCCCTCTTCAGTACACATCGAAACCACTGCAACGCTGATTATGTGAGAGGCATAGCTATCACGTATGACTGGACTTTGTGTGATCTTCCCCCGTGATGCCGTGCACCACATCCTAATTTCTGTCACAGGTCATAGAAATTGTTTGGATCTCAAATCCTGTCTTTAGTCCCTGTGGATCTGAGAACAGTTGCAGTAGGACTTGATGGCTTTGCCTTGCTATCTTTATCTTCCATCCTGTAGTCACTACTGAAAGTAATTTAGGTGCTAAACAGATCGGGGAAGAATTTTTTTCACATCAAATATATTCAGTAAAAAGAGGAGGGAATATGCAGCAGAGTCCCTGTAGCTTTTCCTGCTTATTTGAGTAGGAGCTCTGCAAGCTAGGCACAGTTCTGGGGATTCACTTCGGCGTATTTTGCATCTTTGCGTAGTTCAGATGTGAAAAGCCTGAGGTCCCAATCGTGCGTATTAGCAGCCATCAAACGCTTTCTTTGGTCTATTAAAAACATAAGAGCAGCTGGTGTATTTTTGCAGGAATCTGTTCTTGTGTTTTGCAAAATGAAGCTAGGATGCCGCGTCTGGGGGAAATCGCATGTAATAGCATGATTATTCTTGTGAAGCAAAGCAGTGAAAGGGATCGTTACAACGCTGCGTAACCTATGTGAATGTCCCGTCACATTGCCCAGCAGAGGCACGTGCACTGAACTCCTGTCAATCCAACCCTCAGGATCATGCTTTCTTTTGCTTAAAAAAGCTTTTACCCTGTGCAGTGAATAAAAACTGTCATTTTGTTTTCAATTCTGTTTAGATGCAGAATTCGCTTAGATCTCTACGGAACAGTGCAGCTAAGAAGAGGGCAAAGCTAAGCGGCAACCTTTCAGATCTTGAAAGTCCTGATTCTGCTCTTAAACTTGACCTCTCCGTGGATTCCCCCTCCCACGCTTCCTCCCCCAGCGCAGGCTCTTACAGCGAAAGCGGAGTGTACAGCCAGGAGCCTCTGACTTCCCCTGCGTCCTCAGTCCCCCAGAGGAGGAGAAGAACGTGAGTGCAACTCGTGCGTTAACTCCGCTTTGAAATTCTCACACACGGTCTCTGCTGGTGTTAGTGAAATATTAAAGGGAGTGAAAACTGTGGTATATTTTTTATATAAGATTGCTTTGCTTAATAGATTGATTTTTATATGTGAATTATTGTCCCATCTGAAAATAAGTTGCTCTGTACAACAGTTGCTTAATTATATTATTCTAGTTTGTGCCATCTTTTAATTTGAAAGAGCTCCCTGGCGCAGCCACAGTAACACAGTGCAGTTGGTGAAGTGCTGCCAGCGGTAGTAAATATTTGATTAAGACTTCAGCTTGCCATAGAAGGTATGTGAAGCATAGCCTAAACAAAAGAGTAAGAAGGAGAATGAGTTAAGAGGAGGGATAAGGTTTGCTTATTATCGCCTGGGAACTAAAGAAGGAATGGGTTGGTTTTTTGCAGTAAGAGGTAGACAATGTAGATGTTTCTTATTATTGCAAATCGTAAACTGTTTCCATTTTATTAGTGACAGACTATTGTTAATTTAAAATGCCTTCACAGAGCTCTTCTGAAAAGAAACTGTGTCATGACACAGGCTGCTCTGATTGTAAAGAGCAATGACCCAGTTGGTGATTAGCCATATGAAATACTTTATTTTTTAATTAAATAAAAGTTTTTTTGAGGAATTTTGCAAATTTTGCAGTACAGAATCTCCTTTTCTGCTCTTGGAGCTCATGATAAAGCTGCTTGTAGCTCTGATCCAAAGAGATCTTTTATTTTTGTGTGTACTAAATGCATCAGTATATAACTGGCATACAACTGTATTAACAGAATAGGAAGGAAGAGAGGGAATATACAAAAGAAAGGGTTTTGAGGCAGAGGGAGACTGGAACGATTCAGAAACAGAAGGTTTTCACAACTAATTTGTATGTGTGCATCTTCCCTATATGCATTACTGCTG